CCACACACTAAACAAATATCTCTTGTAAAAAAACCTCTCAAAAACTTTTCCATGTAACTTAGCTTGCTACTCTAGATCTTACTTATCTGTTTCTTTGTATAGCAAGCTTCTCCAATCCCTGGCTTTCCCACCTCATCTCAAGAAAATGATTTTTAAACCTGGGTTTCTTTTCTATTATTGACCACTAGCTGCTATAGATAACAAACTTACCTTTAAAGCAGATACAGCACAAAGCTTCTTTTCCACATGTAAGAAACATCCCTAAATATCATGAAAACAACTGTGTGTAAATTAACCCCTAGAAGATTCAAATCCTGTGTGACAGAGACAAGTTCTCGTTTAACTCTTTATCCTGAAGGGATCTGACAACCTGAGCTACCATATTTGGTCTGATTCACTTTCAAAAGGCAAGGGTCACATTACTCAAATGCCAATAAATATTTCCAGCTGACAGTTATTTTAAAAAACAAAACAAAGCCAACTCATGTCTTCGCCTCCCATCTTCTGGAAAAAAAAAAAGTAAAAAGGAGGATTATGGGAAGGCTGCTACCATTCTTTAGTGTGGCACCTGCAGGGAGCAGACCCCTCAAAAAAGTCATCACTTTCAAATCATTTCTAAAGGTGCACCCGTTGGCTAGCTCTCAAAATGATGAGAACTTACCTCAGCACAGTTCAGAGTTCTGACCTCTACCAAGAAAGGCATACAAAAAAAGTCTTCTCTATGCCCAAACCTCCAAGACTTGAGGACTGTAACTACTGTGGCAGGACCACTTAGTACAGAGAACTAGAATCCGTAATCACAGGCCTAATGGCTAAACACAGAAATGTAAATGGAAGCGTACATATGTTTGTCATTGATCAGGCCATATGGACATGACTCTTCTGATAATTCAAAACTCACTGCAATAACCCCTTTCTATAAACACAGCCATTCACAAATGCCCTGCTTTTTAAACTCTCTTAGGAAATTAACAATAGCTTTATACTACTATAATGTTCTTCCCCATTAGGGAAACAGACAGAATGGTAGAGACTGGGGTATAAGAAAGTACAATGGCGCAGGAGTTAGAAGATTTGACTTGCAGGTCCTGCGCTATCCAGGCAAGTGAGTGCATCATGGGCAAAGGAGTCAGAGAAGAGGATTTCCTTTTATTCCCAGGATTGTTTTGTCTTACTTGCCCAAAGGATAGCCGAGCTCCAAACCCAAGTCCTATGCAATCACAGCTATCGTAGATAGCCATTCATCAGCTTGTGAATTTCCCCCACAGTTGCCACCATGTGTGCTCATTTCCTTATATTCCAGGTGTCTTTTAAACCCCATACTCAGGAGGCCTCTCTCATTTCCCTTCTGTCCAAGACAACTCTATCCATTCATGTACTCTTAACCCATAAGGCAGGGAGGGACGGAAAATCTCAAATGTTCTGTTTTGTACCTGGATTCAAAAGCAGCATCTGCTATGTTTGTGGAACCATCTGTTGCCCACTTTGCCGTGGGAAGGATGGTGTAGGCATCAGACGTGGAGTGTCACAGGTCACACAACGGAATGAGCTCCTTCTTCGGGCAGGCACACCCAGGCATATGCCCCACTGTCACCATGGCTAATGATACTCTTCCCAGTCACAGGGCTTATTTATTTTCTCATGGAGAATGGTACCTCTAAACTCTCAGAAAGGGTCAGGTCCAGTTTTTTCTTTCCTTTTTTTTTTTTTTTTTTTAAATTACAGTGGCTTGAATATCAATTTCTAAAATCTCTAATTCTGGGTTATACCTAGAACTACATCTGCCACAAACTCACTTGAGACCTTATGAGTCACTAATCTCTGGGGCATCTCTGTTTTCATATCTATAAAATAAGAAGGTTGAACTTGGTGATCTCTGAGGCTCCCTTGTGCTCTAACTCTCCCAAATTCTGAAATTTTTAAGTGAACTCAGGGTTGTCAATGAACTCAAGTTCCTTCACATCTTTGGTATATTAAAGACTCTTAATGCCAAGGGCAAAAGAATCTGGTGCTGAAAAAAAGGCTTCTGTGACATGGTCTCTTTGTGTTTAACTAGAACACAACTGGTTTCTTGAGGATACAAATTAGACTAAGATCCTTAATCTTATTAACATATGCCCACGAGGTAATACTCTAGTATTTTAGAGTATTATTCTAGAGCAATTTTCTAGATTTAGGGTCTGAAGAATTCTTTGAGTGTGTTCTGTGTCTTGTAGCATATTACACAGCAGCTGAGGCCTCGACCCACTAGACGCAGCCCAGTTGGCAGGTGGGGCTGTTCCCTACCTCCAGCTGGAACTGCCAAAAATGTCTCCATACATTGGCCAATAACCGCCCCCCCGGTGGGGGGGGGGGCGGCAAAATCTCCCCCCATCCTCAATTGAGAACCACTGCTATAATGGGTATCAGAGCTTGAAAATACTGCACATCACTTAAAAGTTGTTTTTGTTTCACATGGGTGATATTTACACTGTTAATAAGTAAAGTACACCAAGACCTAATAGATTTATAAAGCACACGTATTCTACTTGAAAGAAGTACAAAGCACCGCCGTTACAAATCATTCATAACAGGACTCCCTGCTAAGGGTTGAGAATTAGCACACAAAGTCATAACCTCATCTGCTCTTTTCACAGGATCTTCTCCAGTATACGCTCCAGAATCAACTCTTGCTTACAAAATGGGGCTTTTAAGAGAAGAAGGAAAACCAGTGGTTGCTTTAATCACTTTGGCTTTTTCTCCCCTCTCCTGTGCAAAAGCCTGGAAATAAGATGTTTCTGAAAAGGTTGCTAATGAGTTCTGGCTTTGGTCTAGATTCTTTAAGATAGGGGTTAGCAAACTCTTAGCTCAATTTCCCTAGTATCTTTCCTCCACCATTTCAAACAGGGATCCAAGACACACCCCCTACGGTCAGTCGTCAGCCCAAAGAACCGCAGCTACCAGCCGCGTGAGACAGACTGAAGCCCCTGCAAACTGCAATGATCACTCCTCTTAACCAAACATCTCATTTTCCTACTGGTCAGAAAGGCTGAGATTTGCAAACCTCCAGGTCTCCAGAGGTGAAGTCTACACTAGTCAATGAAGAGCAGAAATTCAACGCTCCCTGGCTTTTAAAGGACATGCCCGTTATAAACATTTTCAGGACTTTACAGTTTCTTAAGTACATATAACGTTTGCGTTTCCACATTAAAAATGTAAGGTGAAAAAGAAACACTTTTAAAGAACTAAGTGCAGGATATGAAAAGGGCATCGTGAATAGACACAACTGTTACTTTTCCAAGAACTCAGCTCTTTATTCAAACAAATATTTACACAATTGAGGGCAATGGTACCAGGGGTATAGCCCTTCTGTTAAAACAATGGGCAGCTCTAGAGGTTTATTTATCCCAAATCCAACTACTCTGTTGCTATCCTACCAGGAAGCAGGAATTCAAGTGCTCTCAGGGCAAAAGTTTAACCCTCTGAAACTGAACTTCACTTAGATCTCTCCCAGCTGAACTCAGATAATGTCAGAATCTCAGGGACATAACTCAAACGCCTAAATTAAGCCACACTAGGAAGCTTAAAGTAACACTCCCATACTTGAAAATAAGTATCTGCAACTAACACATTTCTAGAATGAAGGGAAATATGGCTGACAAATACTTATACTGAAAGGAATCCACATTTGTATGCCTCGTTTCCTAGTTCCTAGTTTGGCAGTGACTAGTCGCGCATTCTAGAATCTTGAAAGCTACTTCAGAGCTGCACAAGGAAGACTTCTAGGGATCAGGGCAGGGCCAACCGAGAGTATTTCCAACCCCGGGCAAGTCTACCAACTTAAAAGGCTGCGGGCACGGTTCCCTCTTTTACGTGAAAGGTAGATGCGCAGGCTCTGGAAGCCGGGTCGACTTCAGAAGCTCTTTCAAACAGGACACCTCAACCCTGGAAGGGACAGCCTGTCAGCCTTTTAATTTCCTGACGGTGGCGGGAGTTAGCCAGGTCCTCCGCGCTTCAGTTAGGTGATGACTGCCAGCGCTAAGTTATTGAATGTACCAGCAAACATTTCAGCTGCGCCTCCGCCCTGCCGGACGCGGGTTGAAACAGGGGTTCAGAACATTCCCAACGCCTGCAGCCTCTATCTCTAGGGGTACAGAGACCGCCATACCCCAAACTCCGGGCGGGGAGGGATCCAAAGCCAAATCGGAATCTGAGATTCTGCGCGGCTCAAACTTGCGAGCCCCACTCTTGAAACAGTAGAATCAGAAGCGCAGCTAGCCAGATACTTGGGGGTAGAAAGGGGTCTTCTCTGAATCCCGCGCCCCCCACCATCCAGCAGCAGACCTTCACTTGCCTCCGCCCATCGCGACAAAGCAGCTCTCCACCGCAGATCCCAATCCCTCTCTCCTTGGTCATCCCAGAGTTCTGGGCAAAAGTTGCCTCCAGTCCCCCCAGATCCCGCCTGTTCCCTACAATCGCTTTGTGAGTCTCTCCTACCCCGACACTCCCTCCCCAGGATCCTCGCCAGCAAGGTCCAGCCACCCCCTGGGGTTCAGGCCCCCCCAAAGCTGCGCGGCCAGGGTTCCGCTAACCCCAGCCCGGGCTTTTGTCCCTAGAGCCTGCAAGAGAAGCCAAGCAACTCCGCGTCCCCGGCACCCACTCACCGTCTCATCTTTCCTTGAGCCGCGGCTCTCCACCGGCCCCGCCGTCCTCTCGCCTGGCCCTGGCCCCCGCCCTCCCACCCTCCCTCCGGCCCCCGAACCCCGGCCCCCTGCCCCCTGCCCGGCCCAGCCGCAGCTCCAGCCGCAGCCGTCCGGCCACTCCGGACTCGCCGAGCGCAGTCAGCGCGCCCCTCCTGGGCCCGGGCGGCCTCTGCCTCCTCTCCGCCCCCAGCCCTCCGCCGCGCAACCGGCGGCGACCAAGTCGGCGCGGGGGAGGCAGCGCCCCAGGGGAGCGGCCCGGACGCCCCTAGACGGCGCGGTGCCCCCCTCTCCCGGCCGGCCCCCGCCCCCCCCCCTCACCTGGCGCGTCGGCGCGGCTGGGTCACCGCGGCCAGGGCGGGAGGGCGCGCTCGGTGCTCCACGGCCCGAGGTGCGGTCCCCCTCCGGCCGCGGTGGTGGGCTCCGCGCTCCTGGGTCCCGTGCCCCGGCCCCTGCGCTACCACCGCGGCGGGCACGCCGGGCCTGGGGGCAGTAAGTCGGTGAGCCGCCCAGCTCACCGGCCGTTTGCAGTTGGGGCTTTTACTGCCGCTGGAGGAGTCCGGCTGCTCTCCCCATCACCCGGCGCCGGTTCTCAAAGCTGCCTTTACAGCAGGGCACTAGAGACGTTTGTGGCAGGCTTCTTTCTTTCCTTCCCTCCTTCCTTCCTTCCTCTCTTTCTCCTTCTCTTTCTCTCTTTCTTTCTTCTTTTCTTTTCTTTCTTTTTTTACGAACTGGAAGAAGGGCGGGAGGGTACACGTCCTCCGGTGATGATTTCCTCACCCGTTGTGAAGTTTCTACTGGGAAACTCCAGGTGACCACACCTCACCTGCTCCCGACAGTTCGCCCGCGGGCAGGTACCTGATGCGTCAGAGAAGCAGCTTTGTAAAATCACTGGGGAATGGCCTCAGCGAACGGCTGAGGATTCGGAACTAACTCATTCTGACTTCCTTTCTGTCATTTCTTTTGAAAGTTTCTCTATTTTCCAACATTATTTTTCCGAGTTGCTGCAACCAATGGAAACAATGCTGGTGTGAATGTCCTCCAAAGGATGCTTCCGAGGCAGGCAACGAAGCGGACCCACACCCGGCCGCAGTGCCTCTGGGCACGCGGGAATGTGAACCTACGCGGAGTTCTGAGCCCATCTCTGGGGTTACAAAGATGAAGGCCCTCAGCCTCCAAGGAACCCGCAGCAACAAGGAAGAGCTCACCGTGAACTGCGAACTCTTTAACATATGCTCAGTATGGCTTTGAGGAAGTTGTTTTAGCCCCCAGTGACATTTTCTTCATCTATGAGTGTAGTAATAATGATACTGATGATGGAAGTCGGTTAATAAGCTTTTGGATAACGTAGGCAAGGGACCTGTCACCGTAAGTGGCCCTAGTAGTCATTCAACAAATGGCTTATTTCATGCGCTTTTCATTTGTGCAGGTAAAAGCCTGGTTTCTAATTTCAGGGAGAGGCTCATCTGTGAACTGCTTGGTGTTTTATATGACTTTTTTTTTCTTTCCTTTCTTGGCTCTTTGCCCCGCAGAAACATACAGGGGCCAATCCGAAGGTTAAGTGCTCCAGCAGATCTCTCTTCTCCCACATCATCAATTTTCTCCCTCTATGGGATCATCTCCATCAACATAAAATCATGTTATTTGTCCCATCTTGAAAACAAAAAACTCCCTCTTGAATCCACTTCCCCCGCCAGCCACTTGTCCTTGTTTTCCTGCTCAGCTACAGTGAAATGCCTTCAAAGATGTGTTAAGAAAAGCTGTCTCCAGGTTCTGTCTATCCTCATATTTACTCCAATCAGGCTTTTGCTTCGACCATGTCACTGGTACTCTTCTTATTGAGATCAAACTCCTGAGTCAAAAGGTTTCTCAGTCTTTACCTCACTTGAACTATCAGCAGTAAGGAACAGCTGATCATTTTCTCCTCCTGGAAATGAGTTTGACTTCCACAACATCTTATTTTCATGGTTTTGTTCCTAACTTTTGCTCCTTGTCGGTCTCCTTTGCTGGTCCCTTTTCTTCTCCCAGCCTCTGAGCATGGAGTGAGTGCCCAGGGTTCAGACTTTGGTTCTCTTGTCTATCCACACTCACTCCCTTGGTGATCTCATGGCATTAACTACCACCTATATGGTAATGACTCCCAAATCTTACCCCCAGCCAGGCCATCTCCCCTGAACTGGAGGCTTCAGGCAACTGCCCACTTGGATGCTTACAGGGCTCCTCCCACTTACAATTCCAACCTTGAAATCCTGAAAGTCCTCCCTCTATCTCCCAACAACCCTGTCCCAGATGAAGTCTGACTCATATCAGGCCTAAAACCTTGGTGTCATCCTTGACCTTTCTATTTCTCTTGCATTTTAAATCCAATCCATCAGGAGATCTTTTGGCTCTACTTTCACAGTAAGTCCAAAATTCAACTACTTACCACCTCCACTGTTATCACCACCCCGGTCTAATCTACCATCATGTCTTCACTTGGATTACCCTTGCCCTGCTTCTACTTTTGCCCCCCTGTGGGCTCTTCTCAACACAGCAGCCACAGCAATCCCTTTAAATATTAAGGCAGCTCATATTACTCCTATCCTCAAAACCCTGCAGTGGTCCCCATCTCAGTTAGAAGAAAAACCAAAGTCCATAGAATGACCCAGAAGGACAATACATAATCTGCCATTCTCTGACCTCAGCTCCGACTTCCCTCACTTCACTCACTTAGCTCCTGCCACCAGGGCCTCCTCAATATTACTGGACTGGATTCCTAGACAGGTATGCTTCCAGCTCAGGGCCTTTATGCTAGCTGGCCTCTCTGTCTGGCATTGTCCCCTCCCCCAAGGATCGTGCTCCCTCACTCCCTCACTTCCTTCCAGACCCTGCTCAAATGTCACCGTGTTCCTCAGGCCTACCCTGACTACTCTATGTAAAATTAAACATACCTTCTTCATACCAGTAGGCTTTTTTTATTATTTTATTGACAGTTTTTACCTCCCAGAAAATTATAAAATGTACTTTTAGCATTATACTTATTGTCTAATTCTCCTCACTAGAATGTAAATTCTGTGCAGCCAGGGATTTCTGTCTGTTCTCTCCAGTGATACATCCCTGATGCCCCTAGAATGATGCCCAGCATGTAGTATGAACAATAGCTTTGACCCAGAGCACTATGGTTGCAAACATTTCCTTGCCCAGGACAATGCCACTTGACCAGACAGACATTTTAGAGACAGTTGTTCTCCCCCAAGGGGTCTGAAGAGAATGTCTACCAATACACCACACCTAGAATGACCATAATTAACAATATGCTTATCTGAGAAAAAATAGCTAATGTTCATTCAGAGCAACATTGCTGTATATACCAAGCACTCTTCCAAATATATTACAGTGTGTGTTAGTTTAATCCTATAACAGCCCTAGCAGGTAAGTACTATTATTACTAACAACCCTCTAAGGTAGTAAAAAAAAATGAGGTAGCATAAAGGCCCTCAGCTGGAAGCATACCTGTCTAGGAATCCAGTCCAGTAATATTGAGGAGGCCCTGATGGCAGGAGCTAAGTGAGTGAAGTGAGGGAAGTCGGAGCTGAGGTCAGAGAATGGGAGTAATAATAATAAGCATTATTATTACTCCCATTTCATGACTGAAAAAAAATGAGGCACAGAGGAGTTAATGGACACTCAGTTAATAAGTTGGTAGAATCGGAATTTTAACACAGGCAGGATGGTTTTAGAGTCCATGTTCTTAAATACTCCCCTCTACCTCTTCTTTAAGTAAGAATGATATATCAGGGGAAGTTTCTGGATAAAGATTAATTCATAATCACAAGACAAAAAAGTGATCCTCGTTGGCCTCCATCACTGCCTTGTTTTATTTGTTGACATTTTGGTCTCTTTTACTTTGGCCAAGCTCCTTAAAGGCTAGAGGGATCATTTTATTCATATTTGTGTGAACCATCCTCCAAGACTCGATACTACTCGATACTTGATACTTGGAAGGGGCTCAAAGAGGATTCGTTCAATGTGACTTTTTTTTTTTAAGATTCTATTTATTTATTTGACAGAGAGAGACACAGCGAGAGAGAGAGCGAGCACAAGTAGGGGGAGTGGGAGAGGGAAAAGCAGTCTTCCCGCAGAGCGGGGAGCCCGATGTGGAACTCGATCCCAGGACCCCAGGACCATGATCTGAGCCGAAGGCAGACGCTTAAAGACTGAGCCACCCAGGCGCCCTCAATGTGACTTTTTAAAGTAACTAAAGCCACCAGCGCTTCCCACTCCTGCTACATTGGTGTGGTTTTCAGCAGCTTGCATAATGCCACAGGGGCCTGGAGCTGAAGAGGTCCCCATGAAGCTGCAAAGCTTAAACTAAATGTTAAATGCAGACCCCAGGCATCTTCAAATGTGGAGAAGGCACTCAAAATGTAACACCTGTTATTATGTAATAATTATTACTACCAGAATTTCTTTTTAGTTATGATGATATTTTTTTTTAAAACTGAAAGAACAAAAGAAAGGAGCTCTTTCCTTTTACTTTTTCCATTTCCTGGGTCCTTTACAACAAAGTCCCCTCTTTAATCCCAGACCAGAGCCACACCTCACTCTCTCTGCCGTTTCCTCTTGTCCACTAGGATATTGGGCTGTAAACTACCCAGCAGAACTTCTTTCCAGGTCCCCCTTCCCTAGATCTGTAGTGGTTGCAATCCCTGATCTTACTTTGCTGTATCCTCCCCTCAGGTAGGGAAAGGAGAAATGTTGCACAAAGTGATATTATAAGTTACTTATGGATCTTAGGTCCATTTGGACTTAATTTTGCTATGGTACTCTCTCATTAACAAAGACCAGTTGGACTTGATTAACTCATGTCTTGAATCTGCCCATCTCTGCTTCTCTCTGTCGTGATAGCCTAACACATGTTTGTAGCTATTTACTTGGGCCATCCTCAACCCCAGTCCAATTATTTGTACTGATGTTCTCCTTAATAATATGCCTATATAAAGAATCAAGAAGTTTTTATTTGCAGAGTGCAGTGGAAAGATCACTGATCTTGGGAGTCAGACAGACCTGAGTTTAAACCCTGACTCAGCCCCATTGGAATGTGTTATTTACTTTCATTGAGAAATTTCTTTCCTGAAAAATGAGACTAATAACACCCAACTCATATTTTAATGAATGAATGTGATCAGGGCACCATGCTTTCCACAGGAGACAGGTAGCACACGGGGAGCATTTGAAAGTGTAGTTGTTTTTTCTTTTTTAAAAAATAAAAATGGTCTATATTTAAGGTATACAACATGATGATTTGATGGACATACAAATAGTGAAAGGATTACTACAGGCAAACTAACAAACATATCTTCTCACAGTTACCTTATTTGTGGGGGTGGTAAGAACACCCAAAATCTACCCTTATCAATTGTCTAATATTCAATACAATATTATTAACTATAGGCATCATGCTGTACCTTCGATCTCTAGACTTATTTATACTTTAACTCCATCCTCTTTGA